TGAGATTCTACTGATATGTTTTTCCAGTTTGATCTATACAGACTGGTATTAAATATATGATTAAAATGTACTCTTTTCCATGTGTCCTTTGTTGGGAACAAGCCTAATAGAAAATATCAAGAAGGAAAGGGGAAATTAGAGAAGCTTTTAGCTGAAAGAGAAAGGGGATATAGCAAACTTAAGAATTAAGATTTTTTTTTCCTGTTTATGATAGCTGCTAGTTCTTTTTTTTAGTTAATTAGTTTGTTTTAATTTATATATACATGAGTTTATATGGGTTATATAATATAGAATACATAGAGTACTTCCAGAGCAGTTAACTGTCCAGCACTGGGCAGCCACTCTCATATGGCTACAGACATATTAAGCACCAGGCCCAGACTTTTGCTGTCATCATCAGTGTCAGTATCCTAGGAGATGTCCCAGTCTTGCATAATTACATCCTGATAAATGAGTACTTTATGTTCATACCAAAAACACTTTCAAAATTAATGTAATTGAGAGATAGCTACTGTTGATGTACCTGTCTTCAAATCATTAGGAATGTCATAAAAAACCATTTTATTTAGGATCTTTTGTTAACACCCACCTATATTTTAGAGTAATCACGTTCACAGACAAAATTATATTGTCATTAGAGAATCAAATTTCATAACCACCGTCAGGAACCTAAGGATTAAAAATGAAGCCTTGCTATCCCAGTAAATTAATAGGTAAAATTCACTCCAAGTAAACAAGAGTGAAAGAAATACCCAGCTACCCTCAATGTAATGCTATTCCAAAGCAGAAAGTCCATTTACTTCAAACACTATTCCAGAGCCATTGGGCCAGCTCTGAGCTGGCACTGTGTAAATATAGATAAATTGAATTATGGAATCCCTGGGTTAATAATACTAGTTTTGTGGTTAAGAGCAACAGCATTTAAAATACCAGTACATGTTTGACAAACCTATTTGATGCAGCCTTTATGTGGAATGAAATTAAGTCTAGATATAGAAATAAAAATCACATAAATATAAAAGCCAAATAATGTAAATTAATAATAAATAGTTGTAAGTACATAGGCCATTAGTGTTGAAAAGATTCTTCACTCCAAACTTCTGGTCTTTTCCAGGAATCTATCATTTTTCATGTTCACATTTTGTGCCTGTGAAAGGAGAGTGGCTACATATGTGATGGGATGGGGCATGGAACACCCACATTCAACATTGCCAATGGGTGGAAAAGAGACCCCTGAAAATCAGCATCATCCTTTTTCCTCCTTCCCCTGCCAGAATAGCCACTTTTCCTCTGGGACACAGTCTTTAAAGCCTCAATAGCATCCAAAGAGTCTCCTCTCTGCATGATAGGGCAGAAATAATTCGATTTAAAGATGAAAATATAGTAAAAAAAGTATATGCTGGAAAATATTTAAATTCACTTTGCGCATTTTTAAGTCTGCTTCCATTGTAATTGGGTGAGACCGGTCATTTTAGATGCTAAAATGCTTAAGTAACTTTCGGAAACCTGCCACCAAAATGGCTAGAGATAGAAAGCTGAAAATTGGCATGTTATGACATTCACTTTAGCAGAGGTGCCCACGCTCTTCCCACAGCAAAATGACTTTAATTTGCCCAACCTCAGAGTCCTTGAAAATGACACTGAGCATTTGCTGTAATGATTTCTCACTAAATTAGAAAAATGCCCAACTAAGGAGGGATTATCTCTGCATGTGGATGTGGCATAATGACTGTCAAGTGCACTGAGAGCCCCACTGGGCTTTGCAAGGTACACAGGGTCTGCAGCAGAGGCCAGTGTGTATTGGAGAATATTAATACTGTCTTGTTGGGGGCATCCATTGTGATACTCTACTGCTGTTCAGACAAAATTATACCATACGAGGGAATTCTCTTTGCTACTTTACATATATGAGGTACATTTTAGAGCTGAGGATTAGTTCCAAATTGTCTGGCTGACAAACTCAGTCCATAAAGGATGCAGTCACATGTGCACCCACACTCTCTGTAGTGTATGCATCCACTGGGACAGCATCACTGCCAGATCCTTCCTCGCAGTCCATGGCCTCTGTGCCTGCAATGAGGATGTGATAGTGAACTTGGTTTTGCACACCTAGAAAGTTTTCCAGCTGCACCCTGGGAGCCCAGCAGCTCTGGTTCAAAATGTGTTTTGTCCCCCAGGTGTCTGGGTACTGCTGCCCAGGTTTTGGAGTGAGAGAGGAGCAAGCTGGCTGGGCAATGCCACTGCCTGATCATCTCTCTCACCATGGTGAGGAACTGTCCCTATCTGCCTCTGCTCAGCCTCTGTGTGAGGAGGCACACTTTTTTATATCAGAGCTTGTACCAGGAAGGACAGAGAGATGGTGGGGATGTGTTGGCAGACAAGGACTTCGAGAGCCTCAACACAACCGCCACAATAACACTTCAATAGCAACACTCAAACGCCCAGTTCTCTTGTTCCTCCCATCTCACTGCCAGCCAACTGGCTCAAACCCATGCTGCTGAACAGGCATGAGGAGCACACACACATGCCTCTGCGGGTGTTCGTTGACTTTAGTGCCAGTGCTCTATTAAAAAGGATGCCAGACCCCTCGGTAAACCCACATGAGGCTGTTTCTGCCTCTATTTTGCAACGGCTTTTCAAAACAAGTCTGGTAAATGTGAACAGGATGGGAGGTGAGTGCCGGAGAGTCTGCAGGGCCCTGCTGTGCCAATTAGGGTCCCCCGAGGGGTCTTTCCTTTTGAAACTGGTCCACTGGGGAAGGAAGGGCACACAGGGATTATGGCCAAGCACGGAGTGAGATTGACTGACTCTTATATCAAGGCCAGATTTTGGTCTCAGACCTACCAAGTTCATCCCCAACAGCCACGAGAAAAAGAGCTAGGAAGATGATGCCTGTGTTGTGTCCAAACTTCGAGCTTGTCCTGCCATCCCATCTCACATGGGTAATGTGGGAAGCAAGCAGAGGAGGGAGCAGGGAGAAAGAAGTCAGAGGTCTAAGGGTCCCAGGAGTCAGTGGGTGAAGGCAGACCACCAAGGAGAGAAAGCAGCCTAAAGATTTTGTCCATGTGTCCCCATCTTGATAATACAGCTGCCTAGTGTCACCAAGTTCTTGCACCTTCCAGGCAAGGGAACACAAATCAGGCCAGACACAGTAGGGTATGGCTACTGTCTTGTGCCTGTCCTGCACTGTCATGTCTACGGTTCCCCTCCACCTCCCATTTTTCTGGGTGTCCACAGAGGTTCACAGTGTGCCATGGGCTGCAAGGTCATGGTCTCCGTTCCCCCATGGGATGGAGATATAGGAGCCTGTAGATCTCCTGGACCCACAGCTATACAAAGAGCTTCAGGGACCTGGGAAGGCCAAAAGACAACACATTTGTTTTATGGACAGGAGTTGAGGCTGTCCCAGCAGTGGCAATTTCACCTGCTGTACCTTCATCCTTGCTGCCCAGGGATCCCAAGCGCACAGCTTCCCACAGCAAGTTCAGCCCGTGTTCGGAGCTTTGTTGATCTTCTCCACGGGGATTTCCCACGAGGGATGACATCTCCCTTCCTGACTCTTCCCGGTGACCTGAGTTGTTTCGGACATGCTCCACAATGAGTCCCGTCCCGGCAGGGACCGATGGTAGCCCAGAGACCCAAGCACATTCCTCGGACCTGAAACCCGCCGGGTCAGGTGGTGCAGCTCCCCGCACAAAGGGCCTTTCCCTGCACAGATGGAGCGGCGGCGGGAGCGCCGGGCCCTGAGGGTCCCACACTCGCGGGAGTTTGATGCCGGTCCGGCCCTGCCGCCGCGTGTGGCACCCCCGGGTCTGCGGGACCTGCCGGCTGCTTCCGGCAGGGCTCTCCGAGAGCCACGGAGGTGAGGCACCGCGCTTAAACACGGCAAAGTGGTGCCGGGAGGATGCGGCGGCCGAGCGGGGCTGCCGGAGCCCGGTGGTCGTGAGGGATCCCTAGTACGGCCGGCCCTGGCCTTAGCCCCGACGGGTTAGCGAGAGGCCGGGGTGGCCCTTCGCCGCTGATGGCAGCGGGCACATGGAGAGAGGACCCGAGCCCTCCATCAGCCAGGTGTTTGTATTCACGTGCAGCCGTACGTATCTATGGGTACACATCGTGCATCTCTCTCCGGCAGACTTGCTACCGGGGTGGGAAGGAAATGTGTTCAGCCCAGTCTCTCCCCAGCCCGACCTTTAGCTTCGCGGGGAGGACCGAAAAAGCTCCCGGGACAGGGGGCAAGGGTCCCCCGCACCCCGTACCTTCAACTCGACCCGGGGAAAGGAAGAGTCCCCGCCATCTGCGCTCGCCGGGGCGGGAGGGTCCCGGTGCCGGGTACAGTGGGGTGAGTTGGAGAGCGACGGTGCTCCCAGCGCACGATCGCAAACACCGAGTGGCTGCTTTCTACGCGAAGGGAAGGACATAAACCACCAACGAGCTTTTATTGTTATCATAATCATTATTATCATCGCCATCATCTGCACATAAATAAATAAATAAATATCTCCCAGGGGGAGGGAGTGGGACGGAACGGTACAACCACAGCTGTGTGGCAGCGACTAAGTCGAAACAAAACCGAGAGCAATTTTTGAAAGAAAAAAAAAGGGGAAAAGGAAAATATAATAATCCAAGCAGCCTTCGACCCTCCCCATCCGCCTGCTTTCAGGCACCGCCGAGTTACCGGAGAAAGCTCAGGACAGGCAACACTCCAGGCGGACGCACCTCCCGGCACTGCGCAGCATCCGCGCCCGTCTCGGTGCGCGGGGAGGTCTGCGAGGACCTTCCCGGGCTTGGGGCTGTGCCTGCGGGGAGACAAGTGAGAGAGCACTACGGGGGGGCGCCTGGGGTCCTAGGGAGCAATTTATTTACAACAGGGTGCCAGGGTACCCGTCCTCATGGGCCGGGGGTCTAGAAAGACTAGAAAGTCCTTTGTAAATTACACAAATTATACAAAACATTATAAAATCCTTCGGCTGCATTTCAGCACCGGGGCAGGCAGGCCTCCTTCCCCTGCTCTCGCCACAGTTCCTGGGGAGCCGGGGTGGGTGTGCGGGGGGCTAGGGCGTGACTGCGAGACCTCTGTCGTCCTTCCCCGAGGAGGACGGAGACATGCGCAAGTCCTCGTCGTCTTCCGAGCATTTGATGGTGGAAAGGGATGAGCATTTGCAGCTGTGGCCGCTCCCCCCGCCCCGGTGTGAGCTACTTTTGCCTTCTTTCTTGTGCTTGACCCGTCGGTTCTGGAACCAGATCTTCACCTGCTTCTCGGAGAGGTTCAGGTAGGTGGCGATCTCGATTCGCCGCAGCCGGGAGAGGTACATGTTCGAGGCGAACTCCCTCTCCAGCTCCAGGAGCTGCGTGCTGGTGAAGGCGGTGCGCATACGCTTGCTGCTGGGCAGCTGGCTGGACGTGCTATCTGGGAACGGAGCAGAGCGCACGGTCAGGACCTGCCGGACCCGCCGCCGCCCGCCCCGCAACGTCGGTCTCCCCCCGGTCCCCGCTGAGCCCTCCTCGCCGCCCTCTCTGGGGGGGGTCACAACCCTTCCTCGTCCCCAGAAGGCCGGTGACCCGGCAAGCGGCTGCCAGGCCGGAGTTCGAGCTCACAGGGTACCGCGGCCGCCTCTCGCCGTTCGCACGGCCTGGATCGGAGGCTCGGCGGGCAGCACCAGGGCTTCCCCTGCGCATCGTCCGAGGCACCAGCAGAGAGAGGTGCCGGGACTCCCCGTCCAACCTGCTAGTGCTGGGTAGAGACACTCCTCCCCCGGTGCCTTCGGCAGGTTCCCCCGGGACCCCCATCACCTCCCCGGTTCAGTGCTGTCATGCAGGCATGCACCACCCCGCTTCCCACCCGTACCCCCTTACCCACGGAGATGCAGTGGAACTGACGGGGGTCTGGCAGCGGGTAGGCGCCCTGGTAGAGCGCCGGTGCGTGCCCGACGCTGACGGCGGAGACAGAGTGCTGCTGGCGGGCCAGGGGCGAGTGACAGTACTGGGAGCCAAAGGGGGGAAAGGAGGCCTTGATGAGGGGGATGGCAGGCGGCGGCGGGTGCAGCTGGGAGGCGGTGACACAGAGCGGACAGACGCAGAGCAGCCCGGCCTTGCGAGCGTGGCAGGCGCCGGCCGGCAGCCCGGGCAGCGGGTGCGAGGGGTGCACGGCGTAGGGGAAGAGCGGCGGCGGCGGGCTGCCCTCCCCCTTCTTCTCGCCCGCCTCCCGCAGCACTAGCGAGTCCACTAGGAAGGAGCGCGGCATGGCCCCACGCAGCGCCCGCGCAGACCCCGCGCGGCGCCGCTGGCCAGCCTGAGTGGTGCTGAACGGGGCCCGCCGCCCGCTTTAAATAGCGCCCGCGCCATGTGATGGCGGCGCCGGGCGCTCAATGGGCTTTCTGTGGCTCTTCTCTTGGCATTCACGCCGCACGCTCCCTCATTATTTCCCTTGTTAACTAAATGAACTGCATAATGTACTCTATTCTTGTCGACCCCACCCACGCCGTAGCAGGCGGCCTCTCCCCTCCTCTCCCTTTGGCGGGGTTATTTTCTCATTCTCTCGCGATTTAATATTCTTTTCTTTCTCTTTATCGCTCTCCTTCGCTTTCAGCCCAGCTTTCAGCCCGCTCCCCCCTGTTTATTTTGCCGGCTGCAGCCGCGGTCTCCGCCGGCGCCAGCTTCCCCTGCCAGGCCCCCGGCGCCTTTCCCACCTGTGGCACCAGGTCGGCCCCCCAGCCTCAACGGCCTTTCTCTCTCCTCTCGCCTCCGGGATGCTTCGTCCCCACTACCGCTCCTGCCGCCGTCCCCAACCCCGCGTCTTTGTTCACAGCCCGGTGCCGGGACCTGCCGCTTATCGCTGTCTCCGCCGTCGGGCGAAACCTCTGGCCGCAGAGATGTGCCCGCCGTTGCTCCATCGGCAGGGACATCCGCCAGGCCTCTGTGTGGGCGTAGGCGCCCGGGCGCAGATAACGGGTATGGAGCGCCACAAGCATCGCGGGTGCACTGGTGCGGGTATAGAAAACCCGACACACAGACACCGCTCCGTGTCGGCGGCACCCGCGGCGGGTGCTTCAGCAGAGGGAGAAGAGGTGCTCGGCGCATTCCGCATTCTTTATACCTGGTCCCTCTGCTCGGTCTTAGCACCTGCCACCGATAACACCTGCCATCGCAACATCGCTCTCCACGTGCGGCGGCCCCGGTCCCGGCCGCCACCAAGCCGATCAGGCTCGGCCCCGCATCGCCGCGCACAAGTGCGCCGGGGAGTCCTTGGGGCCATGGGGACCGACAGGGAAATGGCTCATTTCTCCCGAACGATAGGGATTTAACTTAAACACTGCTGCGGTGCCTGAATGTTTTAGCACAGGGATCTGCAAAGCTCACGGCAGTCTCCAAAGCGAGTGCGCGTCCGTCAGAGCTAACGCGCACCGGCGCTGCTCCGCGCAGCGGCTCCCGGCGTCGCGCTCTGTGGAGCTTGTTGATTTAGTAGGAGAATAAGGAATGCTAACAAATAAGAAAAAAAATTATCACAATATCTTCCCCGATTTTCCCGATTTTAATATACAGGGAATAAAAAGACAAACGCATCCATCGACTCCTGTCAAAATGTGGAGAGATGACTCCCTGCAGTAATCTCCCCGCCTCGAAACTAAATGGACTTTTATTAAAGGGGGTGAAAAAAGAGGGAAAAGAAGTAAAAGCCTTGAAAGCAGTGTACTCCCGTGTCTCCGGCTGTGCAGAGGTTGTTGTGTCTGTGTTCACATTCCTCACTGAAATCCACGGAAGTTTTGCCGAGATATTGTTGATGCCCGAGCCTAGAAATATACTGATGTGCAAAAATGAAAGGCGAAAATTACAGAGCGAACAAAAACGAATGTTACTAAACATTCAATCCCGCAACGATATAGAAAGGATTCCCAAGTGCTCTTCCCCTGAAAGCGTTAACGGGGTTTGGATTTTTTTGTTTGTTTGTTTGTTTTATTTTTAAGGGAAAGGTATTTTAAAACATTTTCCGCTGGAGCTGGCGCCCGGTAAGGGGCATCTCTCCCCGCTGAGAAGTGTCTCGCCACCGGGGGGTGGTGGATTCAGGCTTATGCCGAGGGATTGCCGCTGCCCGGGGGCTGAACCCCGGGGCTCCGAGCCGCAGGGAGGCAAAGGGTTAACGGCTTCTGAATGCACACCAAGCCCAAAGCTACTGGGAAAGAATATCCAAAAAAATAACCAGTTTTTTTTCCAGCCGCTGGACCTTATTGAATGTCATTGAAGAAAGTTTTGAATGCCAGATAAAGAGAGGCGAATTAAAGTGTGTGACAGCAGAGGATAAGCAAACACAAAGAGAACTCTGTCACACTTTGGGCAAAATCCGTGGGCTTTTTACCAAGCCTCTTCGCTATGATTGAATTAAGTAATAGGAAAACATTTTCTTTCAGTTTAGAGCCATTAGACAAAAACTTCAAAGCGAATAACACTTTTTAATGTGCAGCCCAACAATGGAATCTGTTTTGTGCTGAAATGTTTAAATGGTTTGTTGTGCAACTGCGGGCTGAAATAACCTAGACTGCAGCAAAATAGCATCCTTCAGGCCGTTTTATAAGCGTTTGAAACTAGCACAGATCTTTAATCCCAGCGCTTCAAACTAGACCCCCTCCCTGTTTTTTTGCGTCTCCCCACCATTTTGGGGGTTATTTTGGGTTTTTTGGTTTTTTTTGATAGTGGAAATTCTCACCGTATATTTGCTGTCTCGAAGCGATCGCCGCTAAACGAAAACGGCACCGAGAGCGGGGTAAAGAGCTCCGCCGGCGGGGTACGCACAGCAGGCGGCTCGAGGGGCACGGGTGGCGGGGGTCGGGGGGAGCCCCTTCCGGTGCTGCGGGGCGGCCCCCGCCCGGACCTGCCTGTGCTGCGTGAGGCGGGCAGGGCGGCTGCCCCGGCCGTGAGGGGGGTCCTGTCGGGACAGGGGCCCCGGTGGCACCGGGAAGTGCCGTCGCTTGGGCTCCGGAGGGAAAGAAACGCTGGGTGGTAGTTGCTACCCCTGCGCCCTGCACTCGCTATCACACCCCCCGGAGAAGAGGATGTGGAGAGGGAGGCATTAGAGTGCGCATCAGCTGGGGGACCCTCAGGGAGCAGGGCGTCAGGGGTCATTGCGGGGGATGAAGGAGAGAGAGGGCAACAGCGTTAGCACTGAGTGAGCCTTGCCTTCCTCCCCGGGGCTGGGTGGCCTATGGCACCGCTGCCTGCGAGAGGAGAAGATGTCAAACTGCGGCTGCCTAAGGGTAGCTGTGTGGACATCGGCTGAAAAGAGCTCCCCCATCATTTTGAAGGACCAGCCGTCACCGCCTTTTATAATGACGGCTTCTCTCTCCGGGATAGTTGCCCTTACTGTCTGGGGGTGGGAAGTGACACACACCATCAATCCCTAAGGAGAGTATGGGGAGATGCATTAATCTGAGAGAGGAGGTGAGGATGCAATCTGGTTGGGGTAGGATGGAATCACTATTTCCAAGAGGACCACATCCTTGGTAGCTGAGGAGGACTAATGATTTGTGAGTGACTGTAATATTCCCCAGCCTAGTCCAAGAAGTGATTTTCTAATGGCAAATACCAAAATGTAAATCGAAGCCAGTTCTGTACCACAAGCCACACACCATGTGATGGACTGTCCCAGGAATATGCCTTTTTGCATTGGACAAACACAGACAGGAGCAAGTCTGTGAGATATTTGTGCACCCCTTTAATGAGCTTGAGCAAAGAATGATTCTGAGTTTACTTGATTAACTAGAAATAGATTTTTTAAAAATCACTGCCTGATGAGCAAAATTGATTTCTTTGGCTGCTGTACTTGCTTCATTGGTCTCTTACTTTATAGTACAGGACTAACTGCATTAACATATATACAAAATGTTATTTTTTGCTACTTACTGTTATTACTGGCTACTTACTTACAGCCATGTTCTGTACAGAATGAGTGTTTCCCACGGGCTTATCTTGCACAGTGACACAACAGGGCCTGTGTGACCAGCCAGTTCAGCAGTGTTTATTTCCACAGCATCTCAGAGGAGAGGTGGAGAAAGCTCTGTTCTTCTGCTGGGCCAAGGTGAAGTGAAGAGGGCTGGTACCTATTTGGGACCAGCAGGTGATGCTTTGTGGAGTGTTCGTGTCACCCTGTGTTTACATGAAACTCGGTGTTTGAAAACTGCAGTGTATATTTTGTGCACTGATTTTGGTCAAATGCTAGAAGCATTTGTCACCCTCAAAGCCAGGGTTCAGGGAAACAGTCAATGAGAAGAATGCAAGTATTAAGTATCTGCAAAGAAACCAAACCCCAATTTTTTGTCATGAGCTCAGTGATCTACTTAACCCTGTCTGTGAGTACCATCAGAGAAGCACGAATAAAACCCAGTTGGAAGACAGGCCACATCACGTCAGACCAGAAGCCCATCTACAGCCATAACTTTTCTGCAGCAGTGGCTGTGACAGAAATCTAAGGAAGTCTATGGGAAAACAAGAAACATAGAGTGATCCTTCCAAAGTTTACTCCTGGCAGCCACTGATATGCAATACGAGGGATTCCAGAAACATAGGCGATGTTTGTGTTTAATTTCAGTTTTTCCAAAATAAAGGCTAAAACACAGGGTCGGAGTTTTTCCCCCTCATGAAGTTGCCTTATGTTTTCCTTCATCTCTTGTCTTATCTATCAATTCCTTCCAAATTTATAACTTTATAAATTTGGTAACCTACCAGCAATGGTTTTAAAGGGGGCTTAAAAAAAGATGGAGAGACTATTTATAGGGACAGATAATGATGGGATAAAAGGGAATGGGTTTAAAATTAAAGAGAAGAGACTTAAATTATATATTAAGAATAGATTCAGAGGGTAGTGAGATACTAGAACAGGTTGCACAGAGAAGTCGTGGATGCCCCATCCCTGGAAGTATTCAAGGCCAGGTTGGATGGGGCCCTGAGCAACCTGGTCTAGTGGGTAGCACTCCTGCCCAATGTGGGTGGAGGGGTTGAAAGTAGATGATCTTTAAGGTCCCTTCAAACCTAAACCAGTCTATGTTTCTGTGATCCAGCCCTGCCACATTTCCATCGTGGTTCATTGTTTCATCTAGTTGCCATCGTAAGCTATCCAGTCAATAAGTAATCTTGCCAGTAAAGCCTGTGTCACAGGAGGACCAAATTAAAGCTGTTCATCTCCAGGACCTTTACTTTTTTTTTCTTTGATCATTTTCCACAGCAGATATCTAGGGTAGAGATTTGCCATTTGAA